GGCAGAAATCCTCCAGATGATGTGGATCGAGTCACCAAGGATGGAAAAAAGCTGCAGATACTTGACTATTACCTTCCCAAGAGGAACAATCAGTTTTTGAAAATCTGGCTCAAAAAATACCCTTGGCTTGTATACAATGAGATATTGGATCTTATGTTCTGTGGTCTGTGTCGTAAGCATGGCATGAAGTCCCGGGGAAGTCAAGTGAGTTTTTTTTACGGCACTGACAACTTTAGGACTGAATTTCTCAGTGCACATCACCTCAGCGAGGCTCACGCCAAGGCCTTGTTAATGGAAGCAACAAGTGGTTCTCCGGTGAACAGAGCCAAGACCCAGCTGATGGTGAGGACCATGAGCAAAGTCACCCTCAGCCGAGTGGAGAACTTATTCAGATCCTGCCATGCTATCGCCAAAAAGGGTCATCCCCTCAAAGATTTTATTTGGATGTGCAAGTTAGATGATATGAAGGGAGTTGACATTGGCCCAGTATTCAGAACCAACAAATCAGCAAGAATGTTTACTTATTTTATAGCTGAAGTAGAACGGAGAAATCTAAGAGAGAAACTAGACAGATGTAAGTTTTTCTCCATCATGAGCGACGGAGTCACAGACAGTTCAGTCAAGGCAGCCGAGCTTGTGTACGTGCAGTTTGCACATGCAGGGAAGGTGCATTGCCAAATTGTTGGAGTACAGACGGTGGAAAAGCAGGATCCTTTGGCAATAAAAAATGCCATCGAGAAGACTCTAGAGATGAATCTTCAACTCAGGCTGTCAAGCCAAAACTGGGCCAAGAAATTAGTTGGTTTTGGAAGTGATGGTGCTCCTGCCATGGAGGGAGAGAACAACGGGGTGGCCCTGCTTTTAAGAGAAGTCCAGCCGTGTGTGCAGACGGTACATTGCTTTGCACATCGCCTTGAACTCTCTTACAAGGCAGTATTCCAGAGCATTCCCCTGTATAATGACGTCAGTGAGCTCCTCCACAGCATTTATCACTTCTATCACCATTTTCCTCTTCACAAGAGTTCCCTGATAACTGTGTTCAAAGGCCTTCACCTTCGACCTGTAATGCCTTCTCAAATCGGAGGCAGGAGGTGGCTTCATGGATTACAGGCAGCCCTCCAGAACTTTCTTAAGGGATATCCTGCAATTGTCCAGCATCTGCATTCAGTAAGTAATTTTGAAATACTGCATTATTTTACTTTTTTCAGCACAACAAATGTTAAGCTCTTTGAAACAATAATTTTGAGAAAGGTAAACTACTATGTTATTCCCAACCTGTGTTACAGGCAGGTGAAGGCAGAAGTGAAGCCAGTCAAAAGAAAGCCAAAGAACTTCTAGAATTCCTTCTTCAAGCTGATGTTGTGAAGTTTGCACATTTCTTGGTAGATGTCATTAATGTCCTCAGCATTCTGTCCCGTGTCAATCAGAACAGAAATTCCTCAATTGCCGACATATTTGCCACTTTAGAGTCAACACTGGAAATGCTCAAAATATACCAGTCAAGGTGAGGGGTTAGGAATAATCTAGGGCTCTGTCAAACCAGATAATTTGACTTAGGGAATCATTTGGCAGGCGCTTCTTCATGTAAATCTTTCTTGGGGGACTTTTTTTTTTTCCTAGACTGGGACCAAAAGAACGCAGGGTGGATTCAGTCACACAATTTCATGGTAGCAACCTCAGAGGAAAGGGAAACATTTCTGCTGTGAGAAATGTGGTATTAACATGTCTCATCAAGAGGCTGCAAGGCTGTTTCCGAGATGCTAGCCAAGATGTGGTGAGAGCATCTATGATTGGAAGCTTCAAATTGTGGCCTGGAAAGATCAATCAAGGTAAAGGCTATGTGTTGAGCCTGGACCCAATGCCTTTGATTACCTGTGTTAGCTTCTTTCATATATATGACTTGTATTTTGAATCTCAAATGCAGAATTTGGAGAAAAGGAAGTGTCCATCCTGATGGCACATTATGAACCAGTGTTGGAGGCTGCCAATGTGAAAATCGATGAAGTGGACACTGAATGGAGTATGTTGAAATTGGAGATTTATGCCAGGTGAGGAAGCAAGCAAGCTGAGTAAACTAGTGTGTGTTTGTAAATATTTGTGTAAAAGTTGAGTGCTCCAAAACTTTTACAACTTTCATTCTCCCTTCCAGATTTCAGAACATTCGCAAATTGACCTGGGATTTTGTTAATTCTGTTTACTTACACAAGTATCCAAATATCCTGACACTGGTGGACCTAGTATTGAGCCTTCCTGCAAGTTCAGCTGAAGCAGAACGTGGCTTTACTCAGATGCAACGTACCAATTCACAAATGCATGTGACAATCAAGGCCGAGAATATGACAGATCTCCTGGTAATTCAGTTGAATTCACCTGACATTAATAATTTTGACCCTAGGAAAGCTATCCACTTATGGAATACAAGAACACCATCTTCAACTGATGATACAAGATCTAACTCCGATTATTCATCAGACTCGGAAAGGCATTATGAAAGTGATTAGTAATTTGAAATATGTTGACTTTATCATTGAGCACAGCCAAAGGAAAATAAAAACTAGATTTCAAAAAAACTGAAATTTAAAAAGAAAACAGTAGTCTTCTTCAAACAGAAAAGACACTTGATATCTTCCAAATGCAAAGCACAAGTTCAAAGATTTATTTCCTGTAACTTTCTAACTACTACTTGCTGTATCCACACGTCCTTTCTCGTTCTTTGTGTTGAAGGCTGTGCTCTTGCGCAGTGGTGGTATTTCGATGTTAACTTTCCGAGAGTTATCATTAAAGGTGTTTATTGTTGTTAGGAGCTGTCAAGTGGGTTCTGGTTCACAGTGCCCCTACTTACAACAGAATGAAGCACTGCCTGGTCCTGTGCCATCCTCACAAATTGTTGCTGTTTGAACCCATTGGTGCAACCACTGTGTAATTCCATCTCATTGAGAATCTTCCTCTTTTTCACTGAATTCACTTAGGCATGGCACGCTAGCTGTTTCTATGGAATAATTATAAATGACGTAGCATTAGATACCTAACTTTGGCCAAATTGAAAGAGAGTTTCTTTTGTGTTCATGACCAAAATTTGTAAATGTATCTATTACTTCATTATAAATGGAAATCATATCACTGCATGCCTTGGTCACTTAAATAACAAGGTCTAACATTAACATTGTTTTCACGTTTCACACTAGGAGCCTCAGCTTAACAATTTCTTTGCAAACTGAAAGTACTATTTTACAATCCTTTGTTTTCCATCACAACCATTAGAAATACTGCAAATATGTTGTTCACTCACCCAATTTTTAAATACTTTGACCCTCTTCATGATCCCAACAGCTTTTATTTATGGTTTCATCTCAAGGAACATGAATGACTTATTTCTAATCCATCTGAAAACAGTCGTATCATATAAAGCTCGTTTTACTGAAAATTTTACTACCTGGGAGAATGTTCTCATCTCTATGCAATTGGATATATTCAAGTTTGATCTAAAAGCACAAAGAATTTATTTCTGAACAACCTGCTGGATGGCCACTCAAATCAAAGAAAGAAAAGTCCTGTTCTTGCCACTCAGAAAACTACCTTCCAAATCTCAAAACTGTACTTGCAGTTGGAATTACTGATATTTTAAAAGGATTAGTACATTTTCCTACAGGTTAAAGTAAATGAAATAGGATTTTCATAAATTCTAAAAACTTAGATGTGACAGGAAAAATTGAGATGCTACATCTCTGTTTCATTATTTTTATTCCTAACCTAAGAAGAATAGCTATGTACTCTGGACCTGAAAGATACTTGAATACACACAGGAGTCTCTCCTGGCCCTAAAAGGTATCTCTGCTGTGTAGTGGTAGCCAAACTTCTTGTTTCTTTCTTTCTTTCTTTTTTTAAGCAAATACATTTCTTTTGTTTTCTTATTTCTCTGGTAATACATGTGCATGCAATTTGAATTGAGAAACTGACAAAATAGACATTTTGTTTTGTTGTTGTTGTTGTTATGTGCCGTCGAGTCGGCCCCGACTCATAGCGACCCCTCCTTGGGTTTCCCAGGCAGTATCACTGCGGAAGTAGATTGCCCCATCTTCCTTCCGAGGAGTGGCTGGTGGGTTTGAACCACCAGCCTTCTGGTTAGCAGTCAAGTGCCTTAGGCACTACACTACCAGAGCTCCCATTTTGTTTTAGGCATATCAAAAAAAAAAAAAAAAAAAAACTGCCATCGAGTCAATTCCAACTGATAGCAACCCCCTTTGGGTTTCTGAGGTGGTACATCTTTGCAGAAGTAGACTGCCCAGTCTTGCTTCTGCAGAATGACTGGTGGATTTGAACCATCAACCTTCTGATTAGCAGTCAAATGCCAGAGGCATTACATCACCTGAGATCCTTAGGCAGAGTAAAGTAGGTTCATATATAAGAGCAAAGAATTTCAGAGGTTAGTGATCTTTTATGACATACTTGGAAATACTGAGTCAATTAAAGGATCAAATTAGCACCTTCAATCCAGTAATTAAATAATTCAAATCTCCCTACATTTACAAATGCAAATATATCATAATCTAAAGGGCAACATGAGGATAATGTGTCCCCTTGATCATAGTAGTGGTTTGCATCCATTTGAACCCCTTTAATTTACCAAAAATGTTTACTCTTACACCCTATTGTCTGTAAGAAACCATATATCTAGATCTAGATCTATATATGTATATCTGTATCTATATATATTTCCAGCCCATCCTGAATAAAAAAGGTCAAAGAAGACTTAACACTCCAGAAAAAAATGTCAGCATTTGGCCCAGTCTGGAGTGCGTTATTACTAAACCTTAAAGAACGTTTTGACTTAGCTGAGAAACAATAATGGGAGAGCATCAGGAAATCGGTTATTATTTCGGGGTTTTCAAAATGTTGTTTATTTCTCTAAAGGTCACATTTTTTAAATATGTGAACAAAATTATTGTACAGAGAAAGAAATCCTATCCCATAATATAAATAACAACTTATTTTTTTCCTAGGCATCATAGGAAATAAAGCATTTACTGACATCCTGCTTGACTCGGTGACCCTGAACCTTGGAACAAACAACTTCCCTAGTAGTTGGATGCAGCTCACCCAACCTGAAGTAAGCATCCATTGTGTTTTATGTCTTCTAATTGTTTGGGTTTCCCAGTGTTGAGCATTCTTCTTATTTGATCAAAAAGTCAGTAGTCTTGAAATAACTAGTACTTGCACAGTGTCTTTCATTTGGTAGATAAGCAATAAAAATTGAGGGAATGAATGAACTTCAAACTAAGACACATAATATGGATATGCTCACTGAAGAATGAATGATGGGACCAATAGTCAATGAAACATTACAGAGGCTACTAGTATCAAGCAGTAAGTTTGTGTCTATTACTACCAGATGGAAAGAGCCTAACTAGTAATGGTAAATGATCTGACAATCTTTGCATTTTGTCATAATGTGTGCCTTAAGAATGCAACCAGAAAATAAAATATGAAAGAACATTTCTCTTCTAAAAACTGGAAAGTCATTGCACAGCCTTCTATCATAGTTGTCCCTCCTTGTTATAATAGTATGAAGTGAACAGGATTCATGTAAGTAAATTGTGTGCTGTCAGTTTTGTCAAGAAAGCAAAAGCGAAACATTTTCTAAGTACCTACCTCTGATGTGTGGATAAGTTGGTAGAACCTAGGGTAACAAAAGTCAAGACTGGCTCTACTTGCCAACATAAAAATCTACTCCCTTCTTCTGAATTTTAAGACAGTCACATGTAGATTCCAATGTTTCCTATTTTCTTCTAGTTACAGGAGCTAACGTCTTTACTAATAGTAAACTCGGAATTCGTGGACTGGCGGAAATTCCTGTTACTAGCCTCACTGCCATGGCCCATCCCCCTGGAAGAGGAGCTCCTTGAGACCCTGCAGAGGTTCAAGGCCATGGACAAGGAGCAACTGGGCGTGGTCACTTTTGAACAGTACATGCAGGTTGCTATGACCACTTAGTGGTACTAATACCAGAGTACTCTTGACCAAAGAAGTATGTGACCCACTAATGTCCCATCACCAGGTCTCCAGCCAGTGTTCTGCCCCTAAGCTTCCCATGTCTAAGCACCCAAAGGCAACACAAACAAAACAAAACCAATTGCCCTCAAGTCAATTCCAACTCGTGGAGACCCAACATATGTCATAATACAACTGTACTCCATAGGATACTCAATGGCTGTTTTTTCAGATCATGAGGCCTTTCTTCCAAAGAGGATCTGAGTAGACTAAAACTTCCAATTTTTCAGTTAGCAACCAAGTGTGTTAACTATTGTGGTTCCCAAGGGCTCCAGAGGCAGAGCAGATAGTGTCAAAGCCCCAGGCCAAATCTGGTTCCCACACCCAAGGAAAGAATCTGAAAAAGTCAGAAGTGCTCATGTCTGAGTTCTGGAAGAACTAAGGGTTCTGAAGGCGTCACATAAACGTTATTGTCCTTCTGCTAAGCTCCTAATCCATGGTTCTTAAGTCTGGCTATGCATTAGAATCACCTGGAGAGTTTTTAAAAGCCTCAATGCCTAACCTCACCCCAGATTGGTTACCTCAAAATCTCTGAAAGCTGAAGCAACCGTAATAGAGATGCAGGGAGAAGAGTAGGTTTTGTGCTTTTGGACAAGGGGGTGAAGAATGATGAGAGCATTTTTTTGACAAGTTGAGTTTGAAATGTCTGTGAAAAATGCAGAGAGAAACTTCTAAATGACAGATGCAGAAGAGATTGCAAATCATTATCCTGTAGGTTGTAGTTGAGTTAAAGAGTGGATGAGGTCACCCAAGACATGTTGGTAAAGTGGTGGATAACCCAGTAACATAAGAACTGGTCATTGAATTTAGCAGATTAAATGCAGGTAGTGGCCTTTGCTGGAGCAATTTTTGTGAGATAATGAGTGAAGCAGCAGGATTGCAGAAGGTTGAAGAAATACATAAGATCATTAGGAAGTGAGGGTGAGAAAAGTCAATTCGTCTTTGAGAAGACAGAATAAGGAAGGAATGAGAATGAAATTCCCTAACTGGGAGGGGCCTGAATGACTTACTTTGTCTCTGTTAATTGAATACATTTATCCCATTGCTCAGGAACTCTGGTAGCATAATGCCTAAGGCACTTGACTGCTAACCAGAAGGCTGGTGGTTCAAACCCACCAGCCACTCCTCGGAAGGAAGGTTGGGCAATCTACTTCCGTAGTGATACCACCTCAGAAACCCAAGGAGGGGTCTCTATGAGTCAAGTCCGACTCAATGGCACATAACAACAACAACAACAACAACATCCCATTGCTCACCATTTCACCTTGCTGGGTAGACATGAACAATGTAAGTTTTATAAGGTGCTAATTTCGAAACAGTGTGATACTCTATAGGTACCCCTATCTCATACAAATTTCATCATTGAAAGTTGAATATCCCTTCTGACTTCTCTTAACTTCTTTAGTTAATTGATGGAGTGTTTTTACATAGCCCTGAGGTTTCCTCACTCATGCAGTTGAGCCAAAAGAAATACTATTTGAGTACTGAGGAGGGGCTTTCAGGGCTAATCAACATAGTTCTTGACTGATTGGGCTCTGATATATGTATTTCCCAAGTAGAGCACTGTATGAAATCTATTCCTGTCCTAGAATCACAATTTGTCAAGGTGATTTTATTTAAAAACAATAACAGCAGAGCAAAACTTAATCCATTTCTGTAGATGGCTTATGGTTTTCAAAAGTTGGCATTTGTGAACTTACCAACCTTCACTACAGTATGTGGTAATTAACACAGGATATCAATTTGAACATCCTTTTGTAAAACATGAGAACAACGTGCTGAACCAAAACCAGAAAGCCCCTTTGCCAAAGGTGTGAATTTCTTAGAAGTTGGATAATGTCTTTATTAGAAACTCAGAAATAACTCCAATTCCTATTTTCTAGGGATAGTTGATTTCTGAGCTCTGCCCTCTGCTGTGCCTAGCTACTTCTCATTCCTAAGTTGTACCAGGTCCACTTGCAGATCACACATACTTTTTATACAGTCCCACTCTTTGCCACTCCTCTCCAGAAATATTGTTTCATGGGATAAGTTAGAACCGCTTCTAGGGGAAAATTTTATAAGATTTCCTGGAAATGCCACATTGGAAGAGTAAAATAATGTAACTGTGTTGCTGATAGGAAGTTTTCTGTGAGAAAGGGGCTGTTGACTAAATTGCAAGTTCACTACAGCAGCCACTTAAAAGGGTGGCTGATTTCCCCAAATTCTGAAATAGAATAAGATGCTGAGTTTGTGAAATTGGCCAGGCTGTGAGAGAGCAGGAAAACCTATGTGCCGAGCCTTGTTGTCCCTGTCACATGCTTCCCTCTGTCGCATATGATGTTTAGTCACACCAGTGTAGAACGCGTGGTATCACCAGTCAGATGTTCTGGGACCTGAAGAGTGCACCATATTCTCTAAAGAGAAGTCAAGTCCTAAAAATTCTTAGACTGTGTTGTAGCAAGTGGGAACAAAGGACATTTCCATATTTTTAAGAAATTTCACTTAATAATCGCGTGAAGCAGGATGTCATGATTAATAATTCACTTTGTGAAAAAGTTTATGAGTGATTTTTCAAAAATATAAATTGTTTCCCTATTAGATTGTTTTTGTTTGCTTGCTTATTTTGTTTTGCTCTTTCTAAAGTGGTCTTCTTGTTCGTGAAAGACTTTGAAATGGTTTCCTAATATTTTAAATATCATGCATTTTAGAAAATGAATACATATTAATCTTGCGTTTTAAGAGCGGGAGAAAATTCTGTGCATTGAAACAATTGTAAATGGAATTGATAGCTCATTGAGAAGTGGGAGGAGGAGCAGAAATCTTATCTCTGAAACCCCTTCCCCTATTTCCTTCGGCTTCTTTCAATACGTCCTTATCACCGATTTTCAGTTATTTGGTTCTTGTGTCCCTTCATGTTTCTGCTGCTTGGGATTTGAGGAGCTTCTTAGATATTTAGGTTTGAACTTTTCATCAAATTTGGAAAATTTTCAAGATTAATTTTCATTTTTTTTTTCCCTTGTACTTTCCCTTCTCAAAATCTTCTTGATACTGTCCCCCAGGTGACTGATGCTTTCTTCATTTTTTCTACTCTTTTTAATATTCATTAATTTTTCTTCATTTCTTCTTAAGTTCACTGATCTTTTCCTCTGCAGAATCTAATCTGCTATTAATACCATCCAGTGTACTTTTCCTTTCATATCAGTGTATTTTTTCATCTCAGAAGCTCAATGTGAGTCCTTTTTTGTATCTTTTGCTTCTTTCTTCTTCATCTGCATGTTTTCTCTGCCTCTTGAACAGATACAATGCATTTAGAATACCTGTTTTAATGTTAATTCTATCATCTGTGTCATTTCTGTGTTTCTTTCTATGGATTGATGTTTCTCTAATGTTTAGAACATTTTTTCTGCCTTTTTTGCATGTATACCTAGCCATTTTACATTGAATATCAGATAGATATTCTTAATGTTATCTTAGGGGTTGGATTTTGTTGAATACCTTCGAATATTGCCAGGCATGCAGTGACACTACTTGGAATGTTTCATCCTTTTCAGGCTTACATTACAGGTGTAAGGGTGGATGCAGGCACTCTTTAGTTTGACCCCATTGTACTAAGGCAATAGGAGCTCTGGTGGCATAGTATTTAAAGTATTCTGCTGCTAACCAAAAGATTGGCAATTTGAACCCACTGGCTGCTCTGCAGGAGGAAGATGATGCAGTCTGCTTTGGTAAAGATTTACTGCCTTGTAAACCCTATGGGGCAGCTCTACTCTGTCCTGTAGGGTCACTATGAGTCAGAGTCGACTCAAAGGCAATGGGTTTTGGTTTTATTAACACAATACCCTTCTGAGGGCTCCTCCCCATGACTTGCACATTAAGTGGTCCTTCCACTCTGACTGGCATAACATGACCATTCCCAGTCCTATGTGAGTCTCAAGAATTACTCAACCTACTACTTTCAGAGATTTCTCCAGCCTCTGGTATTTTTCACACACACACGCGCACACACACACACATCCACAGGTCAACTGTCATTCAAGACTTAAAGAGACCCCTTTGCAGGTCTTCAGAGCTCTCTCTCTATATATGTACCTAGCTCCACGCTCATATCTGCCTTGCAATTTCTAGCCATCTGGGCTTCCCTCAATTCCAAAATCTGTCTCCTAACTCAGTAGGACCTCCTGTCTCTGCTTGGATTCTTCTGTGCCTGCAGCTTAGAAACTCTCTCTAGGCTGGAGAAATCATAGCACAACCCACTTGACCCCATGAATTGGGAATCCTGAGTGTTGGGAGTCCCATTTGCTTTTTTCCTTTCTGTATTGTCTGCAATGTTCTGTATTGTTAGACAAGAAATCATTATTTCACATGCTTTGTCCATTTTTCTAGTTGTTAAGGCAGGGGACTAAATCTGAACCTTGTTACTCAACCATAGCCAGAAGTAGAAATCTTACCTCTGTTCCTCATCTCTCTATTCTCTCATACAATGTGTTATCAGAACCTCATCACAGAGCCCACCACAGACTAGCCGCTGGGCAAGCATCTCCTCCTAGTCAGTGCAGAAACCACATAAATTCAAACTCTGACCCTGCTGGATCATTAGCTCCTTTGGCTCTTCTCCTTTACAGACTTCCACCTAAGGCATTTGACTGCTAACCAGAAGGCTGGTGGTGCAAACCCACTCAGCCACTCCTTGGTAGGAAAATTGGGCAATCTAGTCCCATAGGGATACCACGTTGGAAACCCAAGGAGGGGTCACTGTGAGTCGGATTTGACTTGACGGCAGTGAGTTCGATTTGGTTTTGGGCCTACATAGCACTCCTTTGTTCCAAATGCGAGCAACACCTACTCCTCACTTTGGGGAGCTATATCCCCTTACCTACTTACTACCCACTGCCTTTCCAGCCTTCTCTCAAAGCATGGTTTATTCTTGAGGAAAGAATGTGTAAAGCATATGCCAGAATCAGGCTGTGCAAGCCTGTAGTTCTTGAGAGTAGGCAGTGCTAAGGGTAGGGTGTCATTCTGGAAGGCAATAAGGGAGCAAGACATAGGAATAAAATGTTTACATATGCAAAATTCTTTTCAAGTATAAAAATTAATCTTGCCCAAGATACATTCTTTGAACCTGAGGATTTTATACCGGATGTGTAACAGCAGAGATAAATGACTATACCCAAAGGGATGGATTACGTGCCAAATGTGTGATATGTTGTTGTTGTTATGTGCCATTCAGTCAGACCCGACTCATAGCAACCCCTCCTTGGGTTTCTGAGGCAGTATCATACGGAAGTAGATAGTCACTAAGTAAAAGTGGAATTCAGAGAGGACTTCATTGTGATCTGAGTTGGCCTGGAAGGATAAGTAGATTTAGCTAGGTGAAAAGGGGGATGGAGATCACTGTAAATATCAAAGATGATGTAAGGAAAAGAGCAATATGAGCAGGAATAATATAACAACACTAAAGTTTTCAGAATATTGAGATGGTTGCATGATACAGGCTGAAACAAATAAGAGCAAAACTGGAAACAAAGCATCTCTCAGGTCACTGGAGCAGCTGTGATGGAGGTAATGAGGCCATGTGTCAGGGTACTAGCAGTGAGAATGGAAGGTAGGGAGAGATAGGAGCTACTTTGCCAAATAGGAATTGAGAGGATTTGATAATTGTGTGAAATATTATGGGCTGAGACAGATTGGTATCATGAAAAATGGGCCTGAGATCTTGAGTCAGTCAGTCACTCAACAAAGATTTTCTAAAGCTAAAAACCTGCACCGATACTATGCTTGGCTCTGAGAACAGATGGCAGGACATATGAAATGTTAGCTATTGTAAAGGGAGAACAGATTCTTCCAAAATATAGATGTGCAGGCACAGTCTGGACTAGTGGTTTCCAAGCTCATCCTATGCTCCAACAGTTAAAATACAGCTAGCACTCCCAATATATTGATTTCCATTTATAAATCATGTACATGTTGAACACTGCTAGGCAGACTGGGTGGAGCAAACAGGTGCTCAACTAGTAGCCAAAATGTTGGTGGTTTGAACACTCCCAGAGTCTCCTGGGAGGCAGGCCTAGTAATCGATGTGGCAGAGGTCACAGCCCTGAAAACCCCATGGAGCTGTTCTACAATGCACACATAGAGTTGCCACGAGTCGGAACTGATGGTAACTAGTAATGACAACAACTGCTCTACTAACATGTTACATTATAATATCCACAAAATTAGAAATTATAAAAGAAGGAGATAAAAACAAATGTAAATGGCAGTTCTAATGTTTTCTCCTGTGCCCCATGGTTGATGTTTCCCACTTTTGAGACCTCTGCTTTACAGAACTGGAAAAATTGGTTCAACCTCTTCCACTTTTAGAGGAATCCTTACATTTCGGCCCAGTATTTTAATGATTTTCATTTTCATGTTCTGTGTAGGCTGGTCTGTGGTTTACAGGAGATGAAGAGATAAAAATTCCAGAAAATCCTCTTGAACCTCTGCCATTTAATAGGCAGGAGCACCTTATAGAGGTAATTACTAAGACTTTTAAAAAATGTAACATTATTATGCTGTTCATCATATTCTTTGTCTTTGTTTCCACTTGTGTGATTTGTTTTGGTCTCCCTCCTTTCAATTCTTCTGTTGTGTCACCCAAATGCAGGCTTAATGCTTACATAGAAGGCAGCATGAAAGAGCTCTTGAAAAAGTAAAGGCCAAAATTTTCAACAGAGTCCTACTTACCTCATCATCTTGGACAATGTCCACAGTCTCTCTGGGTTTCACTTTTCTCATCTGTCAACTAAGCTATTATATTATTCAACACTTTTGTCTCTAGGTGCCCTTCCAATATTAAAAGTTTAGGAGAAGATTCTGCCATTTTACCAGTTTATATATTTTCCCATTTCTCTTTGATTTTGACCAACTTATGCAACATACTATAGGTCTGCATACAGAATTGCCAGTGGTGCATCAGAGCTTGCTCCTCTCAATATTATCAATAATAACACCATTATTAGCCTGTATCCCTGAGGCAACAATGAACCATAAAATCTGAAAATTGCTCTGACTTCAGTGTAAATATTTAAAATATAGAAATAAACCTAATACAGCTAAATTAAACAAGATATGAGAAAGTTAAATGATAGATTTAGACATCGCAGACAAGTATGTATAATATTGTATTGATAACTCAATTTCCAACCAGTTCAAAATTGCAGTACAGACTTGAATATGACTCCATTTATAATCTTAAAGGGAGCAATTCCTTTCTATTAGACATGCACTCTTTGAACACCTTTGCTAGATGCTAGCAGGAGACAGAGGTAGGAGAAAGGGGGCAAAGAATTCAAAAAAAAAAAAAATGTCTAAGATACAAGCTTGGCAGTTGCAGGGCAGTTTTTTGTTTCTTTGTTTTATGTGACACTGGGGCACTGATATCAATTCTCCTCTAAAGCTGTTGGAAGACCATCTCTATATCATTTTTTTCAACAAATCTGCCAACAGCATCATCAGGCTCTTAATTACTTGGCAGTAATGGCAAACTGGTAGTTTGAATATGATCCCAAGTGAAAAGCACTTTCCTTATTAGCCAGAAGTTTTTAGCAATGTTGATTGAAGATGGAGCCTTTCAGCTGCCCATCTGGACTCTAAAGCCAGAAGGCTAATTGTGGTCAGTCCTGACACTGTGAAGCTACCTGGTAGTTAACAAATGAAGGGTATGGCTTCCATCTGCTTTTGTCCAAACTGCTGCAAAATGATAAGGAAAGAAAGACACTTGGAGGCCATGGCAGGACCATCCCATTAAAAGTCATTGCCATAGAGTCAATTCTGATTCATGGCAACCCTACAGGACAGAGTAAACAGCCTCATAGGGTTTCCAAGGTTGTAATATTTATGGAAGCCAACTGCCACATCTTTTTCCTGCAGAGCAGCTGATGAATTCAAACCACAGACCTCTGGATTAGCATCTGAGCACTTCCACTGTGCCACCAGGGACAACAGAGCCTGAGAAAAAAGTGCTTTTGTGAGCAAAGGATAGCTGACAAATGTGTGTGTGTATGTGTGTGTGTGTGAGACAATGTTGGTGATAGAGGTGCTGATGTCCAGAAGATAGAAAAGGAGTCATGTTTTCTATTGTCTCACTGCCCCAAGGATTTGAACCTTAGCATTACATAAATCTCAGTCTTTGCACTGTGGGAATAAAAGTGTACAGTCTGCCTCCTGATTTCACTGCTTACAAACTGTGAGGTTTTACCAAAGTTACCTAACCTCACTGTGCCTTGTTTCTTCCTCAATATGATGAGGATAATAATAATCCTTACCTAGTGTGGTTGTTGTGCACACTGAGTTCATGAATGTGTTACTAGGCAGAAGCTAACCATGTTAGCTAAACATGGTTAAACAGTGTTTAATGATTAATAGAAAGAACATGATTGACAATTCTCAAGCTGAGAGAATTGAAAAAAAAAAAAAAATTCAAGCCTCAGGTTGCAATAATGAAGGAAAATATGGACAAAATACTGAATGAGGCCAGAAGCACCAAAAGAAGATGGAAGGAATACACCAAGTCACTGTACCAAAAAAAGAATTGATTGAAGTTCAACATTTCACGAGGTAGCATATAATCAAAAACTGATGGTATTGAAGGAAAAAGTCCAACCTGCACTGACAGAATTAACAAAAAGAAGGCTCTGGAAATTGGTGGAATAGCAATTGAGATGTTTCAACACAGAGATACAATGCTGGAAGCACTCACTTATCTATGCCAAGAAATTTGGAAGACAACTACCTGACCAACTGAGAGCAAGACATCCATATTTGTACCCATTCCAAAGAAAGGTGATCCAACAGAATGCAGAAATTACTGAGCAATAGCATTAATTTCACACACAAGTAAAATTTTGCTGAAAATAATTCAAAAATGGTTGCAGCAATGCATCTAAAGGGAACTGCCAGAAATTCATGCCAGATTCAGAAGAGGACATGGAACAAGGGATGTCACTGCTGATTTCTTGGCTGAAAGCAAAGAATACCAGAGAGATATTTACATGTTCTTTGTTGACTATGCAAATGCATTCAACTCTGTGGATCATAACAGCTTATGGATAACGTGGAAATTCCAGAACACTTACTTGTGCTCAAGGGGAACCTGTACATAGACCAAGAGGCAATTGTTCAAACAGAACAAGGGGATACTACATGGTTTAATATCAGGAAAGGTGTGTATCAGGAAAGGTGTATATCCTTTTAAAAAAATATATTGTGATTTGGGTGAAAGGGTTGTATCCCTTTACCATATTTATTCAATCTATATGCTAAGAAAATAATCCAAGAAGGTGGACTATATAAAGAAGAATCTGGCATCAGAACTTAAGGATGACTTATTAATAACCTGAAATATGCAGATGACACAATGTTGCTTGCTGAAATTGAGGAGGATGTGAAGAACTCCCTGATGAAGATCAAAGACTCCAACCTTCAGTATGGATTATACTTCAACATAAAATAACAAAGATCCTCACAACTTGACCAATAAGCAACATCATGATAAACAGAGAAAAGATTGACATTGTCAAGGATTTCAATTTACTTATTTCCACAATCAATGCCCCTTAAAGCAGCAGTCAAGAAATCAGATGACATATTGTAACAGACAAATCTGCTGCAAAAGACCTTTAAAGACTTTAAAGGTGTTAAAGAGCAAAGATGTCACTTTGAAGACTAGGGTGCATCTGACCCAAACCATGGTATTTTCAGTCACCCCATATGCATGTGAAAGCTGGACAGAGAATAAAGAAGACAAAAGAAGAATTGTTGCCTTTAAATTATGGTGTCAGTGAAGAATATTGATTATACCATGGACTGACAGAAGAACAAACAAATCTGTCTTGGAAGATGTAAGGCAGAAGCAAGGATGGGGAGGCTTCACCTCTTATACTTTGATCATATTATCAGGAGGGACTCAAAAGGCAAAGTCACTACTGTACTCATAGTGACCCATCCCTGGGTTTCCGAGGCAGTATCCCTATGGAAGTAGATTGCCCAGCCTTCCTTCCAAGGAGTGTCTGGTGGATTTGAACCACCAGCCTTCTGGTTAGCAGTCAAATGCCTTAGGCACTACACCACCAGAGTGAGGGACTAGTCCCTGGAGAAAGATATCGTGCTTGGTAAAACAGAGGGTCGGCAAAAAAGGGTAAGACCCTCAACAAGATGGATTAACACAGTGGCTGCAACAATGGGCTAAAGTTTGGCAACGATTATGAAGACGGTGCAGGGCCAGGCAGTGTTTTGTTCTGTTGTGCATAGGGTCACTGTGAGTTGGAATCAACTCAGTGATACCTGACAACAGCAATGGCTAACATGCTAAAGAAAAGTGTTAAAAGAGAAAATAAAAAATAACAAAATAAGTACTTTTGCTGTAACTAGAATAGGAGAGACTAAATCAGGAAAAAGAAATGCCCCCTTGAGTTGGGTATTCTGGGGGTCGGGAGTCCTCAGTTCTGCTTCCAATCCTGCCACGACTCACTGTGGGATGTTAGGCAGTCCCTTCATCTCGCAAGGCCTCTATCTTCTCATAAAGAGCTTGGGCTACAGTCCAGGGTTTTAGCCAGCTCTCATGCCTTGTCATCCATGCTCTCTGTGCTCTGGATCTTCCCTCTGAGTCACACCCTTCAGGGGTTCCTGGAGACTTGGCCAAAGTCACTGTTTTTAGGCCTGGGTGACCTCAGAGTCCCAGGCACTAGATAAAACGTAATTCCAGACTTAAAAAAAGGAACCATGAGACATCTCTGTGTTGCAATCATGTTGTGGTCCCCTTATAGTGACAACACACTTCCTTGTGACTGATGATGCTCAGTGAGCCATATGTTCTGGCTACACAGCTTTCCACACACAGTATCAGGAGCAATGTTCCCACTGTTCAAAGATCTTGAGAGTTTTTTTCTGAGAAAAGTGGCTTGAATTTTTACATATTAAAAATTCACAAGTATTGTCCTAATCTCTTTTCCACAGTTTCTGTCCAGTGAAAGCATATAGCATCCTTCCATTCTCTCTGGCTGGTTAATATTTCTTAAAGCCAGTCTTATGGTTTTAAGTGCTATTTATTTGCTGATGAATCACAAGTGTCCATCTCTACCCCAGACCTCCTTCCAAACTCTAGACTTCTAGATGCAACTTCCTATTTGACTTCTCCACTTGAAATATTTAGCAGACACCAAAGCCTACTATGTCCAAAATTGGACACCTGATCTCCCCTCCCTGACAAACCAAACCAAACCAAAAAACCAAACTCACTGCCATCAAGTCAGTTCCAACTCAGAGAGACTCCTCCTTGGGTTTCCAAGGTGGTATCTCTATGGAAATAGATTACCCAACCTTTCTTCTGAGGAGTGGCTGGTGGATTTGAACCACCAGCATTCTGATTAGCAGTCAAATGCCTTCCCTACCACCTACCTCTTAATCTTCATTTTAAGCCTCTTCTACCTAAATCAGTGGAAACTCCATCCTTCTCGTTGCTGGGACTAAAACCCTAGGAGTCATTTCTAATTTTTCTCTATATTTCAAACTCTACACCAAGTTCCTCAGGAAGTCCTGAGAATTCTACCTTCAAAATATACCAAGAATCTCACCACTTCTCACTAGTCCCACTGCTGCCACCTGAGCAAGCCACAGGCATTTCATGTGGATTACTGCAACAGCCTCATGATAACAGAGAAACAGGGCAAGTCAGCGCAGGCAGTACTGCTCAAACCCTTCCAGTTAGCAGCCTAGGGCACTAATCTGCTGCACCACCCAGAGACTCCCTTGGTCAATATCATCTGTTTGTTGTATGTCAATGCTACCACCTGAATTCTCAGAAAGGAACCTTATTAATTCTCAGAAGGTAAACTCTTGGAGGAATACGTCCTTGCTCTGTCCATCTACTGACTACCAGAGTATACGAATTTTATCTTTGATTTAATTCTTTTCCTTTGACAGTTTTTCTTCAGGCTGTTTGCTGACTATGAAAAAGATCCACCCCAGCTGGACTATACACAGATGCTGCTTTATTTTGCTTGTCACCCAGATACTGTGGAAGGCGTCTACAGGGCCCTCAGTGTGGCTATTGGGACTCATGTCTTCCGGAGAATTGAAACTCCTGCTCTCATTGTAGAAAAGGTAACTGCCTTCCAGAAATGGACTAGCACTGGCCTCTCTGTCCTTTTCATCTGCGTATTTCCCCAGCTGCCTTATTTAATGCTTATAGGAGTTAAGCACTTGCCATTGAGTTGATTCTGTCTCATGATGATCCCATGAGTGTGAGTAAAACTGTGCTCCATAGAATTTTAATTGGCTGATGTCAGAAGTAGATCACCAGACCTTTCTTCTGAGGTACCTCTAGGTGGACTCGAGCCCCCAGCCTTTCGGTTATCATCCAAGCATGTTAATCATTTACATTACCCCAAGATTCCTTTACACATGTTGTTGTTGTTAGGTGCCGTCAAGTTGGCTCTGACAGGTGCTGTTGGGTCGGCTCTGACTCATAGTGACCCTATGTACAGCAGAACAAAACACTGCCCTGTTCTGTGCCTTTACACATAGTATACCAAATAAAAACAAACTATTGCTGTTGAGTTGATTCCAACTTGTGATGACCCCATGTGTTTCTGAGTAGGACTTCTCCAGAGGGTTTTCTTGGTGCAATGGTTAAGCATTTGGGAAGTTCAAACCCATCAACCGCTCTGCGGAAGAAAGATGTGGCAGTCTGCTTCCATAAAGATTTATACACTGGAAACCCTATGGGGCAGTTCTACTCTAGCCTACAGGGGTGGTATGATTTGTAATCAACTCAATGGCAATGAGTTTGTGTTTTTGTAATCTTTACAGAAGCAGATCACCGGGCTGCCACTGGGTGAGTTTGGACTGCCAGTAGTTAGGATAGAAGTTGACTGCACACTGGGTGCACCACCCTGGGAGCAGTTTACTGAATTAGTTATTAGATTAATACCTGCTGAGTCACTGTCTAACAACCGCTTCTGTCATAAAACCAAAATTTGCTCAAAGTTTCTTAGTAAAATCAAAGTTTGCCCTGTAAAGCTGACCCTTTATAATAATATTGAAAGTCAACTGGATATCCACCTAATCAATTTGTTAAATTGGATGAAATTTCTACATAAAAGAAGTTCAAGCCTCAGACACACTTCACATAAATGGGGTGCTTGATAGTCTTTCAGGCCAGAGCCCAGGTGACTGAAATCCACAGCCACTGTGTGTCCCTGCACCCAATGACAAAGAGCATGATTGTAATTAAGATGCTGCTTTACATTCCCCTTAGATCTCAAGGAGTTGGCACCTCTGGCTTGTTCAGGAGGAAGAAAGCTAGAGCAGGGTGCTAACTAAGGTGTTCCTTAGGTGCCCATTTGCATATTTTTGGAGAGTGAGAATTGTCCCAATAGAGCACTTTTTTCCCTTCTCCCTTTGTGGACAGAGAGGGAAGGGAGTTCTGCCCAGTCCAAACTCCTCAGATGTCCTGGCCACACTTCTTTCCTTTACAGACATGTTTGTCAAAATAAGAGAATGCTGGCTAGTTTGAAAAAACTGGGGCTATCACATCCAGGTAGACACAGGCTTTCTTGGATGCAATCCTGAAGTTTGGCCCTGAGAAGATGGACGGGGGATCTCCTTCCCCTTCCACCAAGGCCAGAGCAAGGCCAAACAGAGTCTATAGTAAGCCAATAACTTGGGGGTCTTCAATCCATTATGCTGTAGACATGGTTCAACATTTACACATCAATGGAAACAGAAGCAAGAAGTGTTTATTCTGCTCAGGATGATGTCTTCTTAGAAGCTAGAATATCAATTTAAAGTTTCCTAGTTAAGTCCACACTCACTGACATCAAGTTGATTCTAGGTCATAGTGACCCTATAGGACAGAGTAGAACTGCCCCTATAGGATTCCAAAGACTGTAAATCTTTACAGAAGCAGCTTTATCTTTCTCCCATGGAGCAGCTGGTGGATTTGAACCACTGACCTTTTGGTTTTCAGCTGAATGCTTTAACCACTGTACCATCAAATCTCTTTTCTCAGTTATGTAAAGAGTAAGGTATAATCTGCACTCACTGGGACTATACTTGTAGCTTTCCAGGGGATGTTTCTGTGTCCCCCATTAGACTGACCCTCCTTAACTTAAAGATAGCCTGTATTGAAACACAGCATGAGGTCTCAATGACCCATTCTTAGGGAGGCCCTCCCTGACCTCAGCCACATCATGTACCTCCTTATAAATGTCCCCAAGCACTCAGTGCTTCCCCTTCACAATACTCCTCACACTTGTAATACTTCTTCAGAGTCAGCTTCCTCTGTGGACTCTAAGCCTCCCCGCACCCCAGACCAGAAGGGGACGGGGAGAGGCAGCTGTCTTGTTCTGCATCCCAGAACCTACTGCAGGGCCTGACACAGAGCTCAGTAAATAATGAATTGAGCAGTCAATCCACTAATTAATTAACTCGAAATCATACCCATTGCATAGCTCTGAAACCTGTGAGGGATCCTGAAGAAGTACAATTAGTACAATTAGCTAAGTACAATTAGCTCTCCTAAAGGGATTGTGTCCAGTTGCCCCATCCATACAGAAAACAATGAAAGAATTATAAACCAAACAAGGAAACACAGAATAAAGAGCAGACTAACATGGGCATTCCCAGTCAAAAGAGGTGTTTACTCTTCTTTCTCCCTGTCTCCCTGCCTTTGCTCTTGCTCTTCCCTCCTCCTGGCATACCCTTCATCTCAGCTCGAGGGGCCTGAGGCCTTCCCAATCTTCAAGGCCTCCTTCAAATGCCAAATCATTCCAAAAAGCTTCCCCTCACGTGGAAGACCAACACGGAGAGTTTGCTCGACTGGATCCCCTTTCTATCCAGCAGCTCTCTGGTGGGGCTGAGCACTGTCTCATGCACATGTTCAGTTATTCAGCCAACACCTATGGAGCACCTCTACATACCAGGACCCACTGTTGGCCTGGGATACAGCAGAGAATAAAACAGATTAAAAAAAAAAAAAAAAAAAAAAACCTTCCACGGGTTTGGTTAGTTCCAGTGGGGAAAAACAGATAACAAATAAACTGGTGGAAATAGAAATATAGATTATATCAAAAGGTGATTAATGCTATAGAGAAAAAATCAATATAGGAGTTGGGGTGAGGGACTGTGATTTTAAATAATGTGGTCAGAGACAAGCTTTCTGTGAAGAAACATATAAGTAAAGGCCTGGAGAACGTGAAGGTGGGAGCCATGAGGGAGAGGGCCATGCAGATATCTGAGGGAAGAGCATTTTAAACAAGGGTGACTATAAAACAAAAATCCAAACCAGTTGTCATGGAGTTGATTATGACTCAAGGCTTTGACTGTTCCAGAAATTCACGTAGTCACTCTATAGCCATGTAGTTATGTAGTCGGTTTTTTCGTATGTGCCCTGTTTCTTTCCTCTGGAAGTTTGTAGAATCCTCTTTTGGCCTGGTATGCTTGTTGTCTGTATTTATCCATGGTAATGGGCATTCAGTTGGCCATTTCAGTCTGGAAACATACCATTCAGTTCTAGAAAGTAGGATTTTTCACTTTTAAAACTCACATCAGCCTTAATCTCACTGTCGAGTCGGATCCAACACATAGAGACCCCTCCTTGGGTTTCTGAGGCAGTATCACTATGGAAGTAGATAGCCCAACCTGAGTGCTTAATTTTTTTTTTTTTTTTTTTTCCATCCAGGCAAGAGTGAGGACAAAAGCCCTGAAGGGGCCCTCACGTGGTGTGTTCCAAGGCATAGCAGATAGGCCTACGCAACTGGAGAGGAGTAAGCTGGCAGACAGTAGCAGGAAAGGAAGTTGAGGGGGGTGACAGCTCTAAGGGCCACTATAGGGACCTTGGCTTTCACTCTGTGGAAGATGAGAAGTCACTGGAAGTGTGAGGTCATCTGGCTTAAAATATACAATAAAACCTACAAAAGTCAGAATCTAAGTAAGGCCAAAACCTGCCAGAGAAGAAAAACTCAAATATTTTCCACTAAAATAAGGGATAGAAAAGTGGTAAGACTATAACTTGTAAAAGGCAGAACCCTTAAGAGACCCAGAAAAACAAGGCAGTCTGTCAGTTCTGAATCGCATAGACTTCACTGTTTCAACTCTGTCCGGCTGCTATGTTGAGAAGGTGGCAGAGGAAGGGGGAGTAAGGAGACATGCAGTAACTGGGCAAGGGTTTATCAACTGAAAATTATGAAACAGTATCATTAATATCACACAGAAGTAAAACTGTTCTGAAAATAACTCAAAAATGATTATAGCAGTATATTGAGAGGCAACTGCCAGAAATTCAAGCCTGATTCAGTATGGGATGTGGAATATTGCTGATGTCAGATGGATCTTGGCTGAAAGCAAAGAATATCAGAAAGATGTTTACCAGCATTTTATTGACCATGAAAAGGTAATTGACTATGTAGATCATAATAAATTATGGATAACATTGCACAGAATGGGAATTCCAGAACACTAAATTATGTTCATGCAGAACCTATGCACAGACTAAGACACAGTCAGTCAAACAGAACAAAGGGATATTCTGTGCTTTAAAACAGAAGAGGTGTGTGTCAGGTTTGTAGCCTTTCATCGTACTTTTTAAATCTGTATGCTAAGCAAATAATCTAAGAAGTTGGACTATGTGAAAAAAAAAATGTGGCATCAGGATTGGAGGGAAATTCATTAACAACCTGCAATATGCAGATGACACAATCTTGCTTGCTTAAAGGGAAGAGGACTTGAAGCATTTACTGATGAAGATCAAAGACCACAACTTTCAGTAAGGATTAAACCTCAGCATAAAGAAAACAAAAATCCTCACAACTGGACCAATAAGCAACTTCATGATTAGTAGAGAAAAGATTGAAGTTATCAAGGATTTCCTTTTACTTGGATTCATAATCAACACCCATGGTAGCAGCAGTCATGAAATCAAAAGACATATTTCATTGGGCCAACCTCCTACAGCAAAAGACCCTTAAAGTGTTAAAAAGCAAAGATGTCACTTTGAGGACCAATGTGCGCCTGACCCAAGCCATGGTATTTTTAATTAACTCAGATGCACGCAAAAGCTGGTCAATGAATAAGGAAGCCTGAAGAAGAATTTAAATTATTGT